CCACAAAGAGGGAACAGAATAAACTCAGTCTAGAAGACAAATCTGTTCTGTAGCTGTTACAGATAAGTATTGGGCTGGGGATGCTTATAGGTGAAAATAGGAGCCTAAATATTTTGTATACCTCTTGGCCAAAACTGATGTATCATTGTTAAAAAAATCCCAAATCAATGTTTTTAATATAGGCCTGAAGTCTTGTTCAACTGTTCCTTGTTTGAGAAGATTATGTGTGGGGTTTTGGCTGTCTGCTTCTATGACACGGTAGTGAAACAGCATTGTTGCAATAGTCAGGAGAGAATTATGGTAATTGCTTGGGATGAGAGGTTGAAGACAAGAAAAGCTCTAGAAGAAGCTTTGTTACAGTGGACTTTTTCCTCTCATGATATGGTCTTAGTAGAGTTTAATTCTTTTCTGACTCTGAGTGAAAATAAAACAAAGTGCTGCTTGTAATTTTGGCAAATCTAATTTTGTAAAGTTTGATAAAAAAACCCCAAAGTAGTTGATATTTTAATAAACCAATATTCTTCATAGTGCCCTAAGTCAAATTAACCAACTGGAGTGTATCTGTTGTGCTTAGAAGGTTTTTAATGCACTGTGTTTAATGAACTGTTTCGGTACCTCAGAGATAACTGAATTGCAGGTGAGATCCTTATCACCACTCCTATCCTAGGTGAATGCTGTAGAAAATTCGAGAAAAGGTTCTGATATTGGAGGTTAGATTCAAAATAATTTCAGTGAGCATGCTATCAAGCTCTCTTTGTATACTCTCATGTAACTGTGTACCAAATAGGAAGTTAAGTGCTGTAAACAGTAATATTGATGCTGTAGCCTTTGATTGCACACTAATCCAGCAGATAGATTTCCTCTCTTTTTTTCCTTTTTTTGGGAAAGAGGTTCTTATTGAAAGGAAATGCTGGTGATAACTGGAATACCCAGGTCACTGTAAGTTCAAGTATTTCTCCTTATTTTATGTGCCTTTTTCTAGTTACTGATAGTTGAAAATATACTTCTTCTAACTTCCTAACAGGATTTTTTTGAAAATCAAATAAATAGATGTGTTATTTACTGTGTCAGACATTTATTTTAAAAAGGCTTCTATGCATCCAGATCACTGACAATTTTTTTCTTTGCAAGCAGGAAAGTTGTTGAGATACAGCAATGACATTTTCTTCTGTTGAAGGGGGATCTGAAGCACATACAATGTTAACCTTATGATCTTGGATTTGATTTAAAGATGCGCTGTTTTTCTTAAAAATGATAGTCTTCTAGTTGCATTTGGCTGAAGAATTCTTTAATACAGGAATCGTATTGTCACACAGACTGGCAGAAATTGCAGGTGGGACTTCAGAAACTTAAATTTCTAAGAGATATGAATCAGTTCTCTGGGAAACAGTATAATCTCTACAAGATAAGAAAAAGCTGAATGCCCTGGCATAAGCTGTGGGCTCCAGGTGCTCTGGTAACAAGGGGGATAGAAACTCTGCCTAGACTGCACCATCTTGTGTTTGTGGGTCCTTGAGAGAACATTGCGGGTGTCCCTCTGACAGCCTTGTCCAGGGCTAGGAAGAATCAGAGAAGAAACATGTAGTTATTTTTTTTTGCTTTGGCTCAAGCAGCAGTTTAAACAGAAAATTTATGTAGAGCTAATATGTTGGTGTAATTGTTTATCTGGTGATAAATAGTGGGGAGCACATCTCTTCCAGAGAGCTGAGCTTGGGCCGTTTCAGTGTCTGGTGTGTAGGTTAGCCAGTTGATGGGACTGAGACCCACGGGGACAAGGAATGAGTGAGGACCCACATCGTGTAGGATACTGCAACACAGTTTCCAGAGGAGTTCTTATTGTTATTGAGTTGTGAACTCATTTGGTTAAAATTCCTCTTTTAATTCCCTCTGTATTAACTAATTCATAGCTAAGTAAGCTGAGTTTCATTCATCCTGCAGCTTTCCTGTAATTCTACAGTAGCCATGAAAATGAAAAGCATGTTTTTGGTTCCTTCTAATGTTTATTTTGAAAATTAGAACAGCTTGGCTGGAAGCTGTCTGAACATGAAAGGTGCTGTATGACCACTTACTGAGCACCCTTTTTCCTGGCCTCTGAAATGTTGTTTGTGTATGATGGGGAATTACTGCCTTTGTTATGATTGTATTTTGTCTTGCTAAAAATAACAGATTTTGTTTTCAGGAGAAGAAGCTAGATTGACATCTTTCTCTGTCTTTTCAGCAAAATCATTACAAATCAGCAGCTCTCCTAGTTTGCTGAGTACTTGGTATAGGTTAAGAAGCAAGAGAGAACCAGGCTTTTGTTGGTTCTTTATGATGGAGAAGTATTTGAATTGGTGGTATAGACTTGGAGTTAGTTTTGGTGTTGGCATAAAATGATGTCTGGAGGATGCCTTGGTGAGAAAATCATTGGCTTCTTGAATTGCAGAGTAGGGAGAGGAGGGTTTGTATGTAAAACCTACCTGTACAAGTATATTTCCACCATCACATGCTTATTTAATCATGGTCACCTGAATAATTCTTGCTGTCCAGCACCAGTTCTGGGGCTGGGAGTGCAGCCCAGCCTGACTATTAGGTAGCTGCTCCCCTGATAAGGTAGAAACACAAGATGAAATAATGAAAAAGCAGTGAGACCTATTGCAAATATTTTGGGCTGAGATGGATAGATGAGAAAATTATTGAGAACTGAAGAAAAAAAACCATGGCATCTGGGAACAGAAAATGAAAGCATTGGGATCCCTGTTGTTTAATAAGAGGTTGCCAAAAACTTGGCATGACTTCTGAGAAAGTACACTTGGGATTTTTCTTCCTTTGTGTGGGGTGGGACAGGTAAGCATAACTAACCATAAAGCAGATTCAGATTTTCTAGGAATGGGTGGGGTATGTGGCTCTGCAGTGGGGAACGCGAGGCTTCAGTGACATTGTTAGACTGCCTGACCCTGTGCGTGTGTGTCCGTTTTGAATATGTGGAACTTCAACTGTTGCACACATGTTTTGATTAAAGTATTTTAGTCAGTTTTGGTTAGACACTGTATGAATAAGCCACATTTATTGCTGTGTGTCATTAAGTACTCTGGTGATAATAGAGTTCCAGTGATAAAATTGCATTTGTCTACTTAATTGAAAGTAGAGTACCCTAGCATTTGAAAACAAATCTTTCTGTGACACTTCTTCAAAGAGTAGATTCTGTGATAAATACCTTTTAACAGTCATTTGAAGTTAAAGATGTAAGAAAGAGTAAAGAAAGGAGGACAAGCAGTACTAGTTCCCATTGGGCCTTTTGGTATTAATGTAATGGTGTAAGTTTTTATGGTTTTGGGATTTTATTTATTTCTAATAGTTGTATTGATGCTCCATACTTGGTAATAATTTATATTTGGCAGTTACATGAAAGATAAAAATCTTGCAAGAAAACCCCCAAAGAAGCTGGGGAGGAATACAAAGAAGTTTGATTTATACATTTTGCAATGTTCATGTAACCCTGAAACAGCCCACACAAGCTGCTGTAGAAACCAAAGTCAAATTTTCAGCTCATGTTGCACATCATGAATTGCATAGAGAGCCCACCAAACAAATTTAAATCATTGAGAGAGGAGGTATGAATTGTGAACGTGGATCCTCATTCCATGTTTTTGGAGGCCTGTGAGTACTCTCGATTAGCTCTGAGGGGCTGTGAATAGTTAATTATTCAGCACAGAGTTCTGAAGTTCAAAACTCTAAGCACTTTCAGCAACAGATCAGTCATGTGAAGCCTTGTTACAGTTGTTTTTTGCAATGCTGCTATGGACCTTGTTTGCTTTTCACTGTGAGTGACTTTAAACTTTGTTTTCTCAAGAAAAGTGTGTGTTTCTAGTTGTACATTAGGTTCTTTTTGTTTTAATTCTGTAGGACAATGGTAGGGGTTAATTTATTTCCTTAGGTTTAAAGTAGACAAACATTGGTACAGCTCCATCTAAATGACAAGTAAATTTTTGGAACCTTTGTGTAACATGTTGAAATATATTTTCATTTCCTGGTAATGTGTCTCCATTCAAGAACATTTAGAAGAAATTCAAAATCTGTCATGAGGTATTGTGTCTTGACTGTGTCTTGGTTTTGTTTCTAATGGTGAAATTCTTAATTAATAGTATATTTTCCTTCTGAATATATTGGTTAATTGTGGAGAGTTATTTAAATAAAGGGAGATATTGGACTAGATGTTTTAGGACATGAGAGTCCTGCATTCAGAATTTGCTGTAACATACATATATTAAGAAATAGGGAGGGCTTTATGCAGTTTTAGAACTTTTTTTAGTGAAATAAGTGCAGCTTATTTAGTGATCAGCCCTTGTATTCAAAAGTAAACTGTCTGGTAACTGAATGGCAAAGGGTATAGAGAAAATTAAAATAGATCAGCATAGGTGAGGGGAATATGTGAAAGCATATTGTGAGTGAAATGTCAGGAAATATTACAACACAGTAGAAGTGGTTATACTGTTATTTTATTACTGTATAGAAGTTAAATAATGTAGAACTGGTGGGATTTCTTTGAATAATTTTAATAACCAAAAGAAAAATTTGAGGAGGAAAAATGTCACTGTTTGCTCCAGTATCTACCCTGTATTAAGCACACTGGTATTACAATTGGCTTCATACCGCATAGTACAATATTTCTGTTTATACTAATCCAGTAAATCTCTTTGGAGAATGTACAAATAGGGTCTTTGCATAACCCAAGGGAGGAAAAAACAACCAACTAAAATATTCTTTCATGGTGCATTAAAGAATTCTTTTTGGCTTGATGTTTATGGGGTGCTTTATTTTTTTTTTTTTTTTGTGATGGATACCTTAGCCTGTTTTGGCTTCTGTCACCACTGATAGTATATTTAAGATATTCTCTGATCCCTTTGTATTTAGAAAATAATAAAGTGTTGTTTGTTTCTGTTTTGAGGCTTGTTAGCTTGTTGGTTTGGAATCATATGTATAAATGCATACTTGATTTTTAATTTTTATCTGTTTTTCAGAAGAAAATCTAAGGCACCACCTCCTCCATCTGAAACAAAATCCGTTGCTGTTTCTCCATTTGATAACACAGAGCCAACCAACCTCATCATGGAACAGAAGGAGAATGTAATCGATAAAGACATTCAATTATCAGTGGTCCTGCCAGGAGATGTGATCAAGTACACTACAGTGAATGGGAGGTATGTTACACAGAATGATATCTTGTTTAATGTTATTATTTGGTCAAGTTTACTCCAACCTTCATCCAGGTTATCATCATTTGGTAGACGTGTGACTTGTGTAAGCCTGAACATAAAGTGTGTCTCCAAAGAAGAGCAGCCAAGTGCAGTGTAAAGATCACAAGTCTTAGGAGGGTTGGGGTTCCTGAGGGATCTGGGGCTGTGTAGCCTGGAGAAAAGGCTCAGGAGGGACCTTACTGCTCTCTGCAGCTACCTGAAAGGAGGGTATAACAAGGTAGGGTTCGTCTCTTCTCCTAAGTAACAAGTGATAGGATAAGAGGAAGTGGCCTAAGGGGAGCTTTAGATTGGATATTAGGAAAAATTTCTTTGTGGAAAGAGGAAGCATTGGAACGGGCAGCCTAGGGAAATGTAAAAAGGTGCGTAGATGTGGTACTTAAGGACATGGTTTAGTGGTGGGCTTGGCAGTGGTGGGTTAATAACTTGATGATCCTGAAGGCCTCTTTCAACCTAAATGATTCTGTGATTCTAGTATGATATTTTGGGTATATATGGAAACATCTACTTTGTACATTTACCTACCATTTCACAAGACTCAGAAATTTTAAGATTCTTTTTTAAGATTCAGAAATTCTGTATGGTAGCTGTCAGTATGTGTGGCCATACCTGTTGTTTTTTCTTGTCACTAAAAATCTCTAAAACATATCAGTTTGTATGATTCGGTGAATTTTTCCACATAAGTTTTGCTTTTTAAAGATGAGTTTGTTCATCCTAGTTGGGTACAAAATTATGTATTCAGCACTTGCTCAGCACTGCTACCTGTAGACCACTAGCAGTCACCAAAAAACATGTAATCACTCCAGAAAAAATCTGAAATGCTTCAAAAATAATTATACAGCTTTGGATTTCTTTTATTAATTATGTTTTCCTTAAGCTGATTTTAGTTTGAATGTGTATTTTACACTGTTAACTGGTGGGATAGATTGTGCATGTAACTCTCAAGTCACCTTTTGTTCAGAAGAACCTGCACATTTACTGGTGAGCTGAAATCATAAATCCTGGGACCTAAAATCTACTAAGGCAGAGTCTACTAAGAAGAGTCCTGTGCAAGGCTGTGTATGGATCACAGCAATATGGATGCCAGTTTGTTGCTATCCTAAGCTGAAATAAGAAACCTATTTGTATATTGTCTTGTGTTAGTGTGTAGCCCATGTCTCTCCTGCTGAAACCAAGCAGGCTGACTTATTCTTAGACATGAGGCTCCATGTGTACACTGTCAGGAGCTTCTTTTCTTTTTGCTTCCTTTGTCCACACTGATGAGTACCATGGGCGTTCTCTCATGCTTTGCTCAGAACAAAATGCCAGAAAGGAATGTTGCATCTATTTTCACTTGGTCAGATTACATTGTGTATAATTACTCAGTGTTCAAGACAGGCCTTACAGGCTAATCAGGAACTGCGCTCGTTTCCCAATCAGTTTCATTATCCCACAGTTACAGGATTTTTCAATCAAGATACTGTATGTGATTGATTTCATAAGTGACTGTCTTGCAAATAAGAAACAGTATTAGCACTGCTAGGCTCATCTAAGAATGAGGGGAGATGTGCAGGACCTGCAGTCCACTGTGAAGTATATGTCAAACTATCTCTTGTTCTAGCTTTGCTCTGTCTTTATAGTCATTTATTGTGATCAAATAGGCATGATCCCTCTAGAAATTACATAAACAGAAAAATTGTTACTTTGCTTCTTTCGTCATTTATAATTGGAGGTGAGTAGCTCTGAAGGTCCTGAGGAGAGAACACCTTTTAAATCTCACAGTAGAAAAAGCAAAATTATGAGTTTTAACAGCTGTGTGCTCAAATTCCATAGTCTACTAGAAGAAACTTTTCTTTATCAATTTGGGTTGGGTTGGTTTGTTCCCTGCTTTGGCATAGTGGGTAGCAAGAGCTATGTAGCACAAAGCAAGGTGTTAGTGAAACAAAAATCTGATTATGTAGAAGGTGGAATATGTAAATACGTTTGTGCTCTGAGATTTCCAGAAAACCTAGGGTAATTTGATGAAGTTAAGTTGCAAATGAATATTTTACTGAAGTTAGGTAAAGGAGGACAAGCAGACTATGTACTCTGAGGTAGCTGATGGCCTCATCTTGGTGCTTTGCTGAACATGAATTATGGAAGCTGTTAAATGTACTGTGATACATGTATTCTTCCACCTATAATCCTTGAAGGCTTTAGGGAAAAAGAGTTTTACAAGCTTTGGAGGACATGAAAAAGTCCTCCAAAGAAAAGTTCGTTGCGTGTGGTTTTGTTTTTTTTTAATTCCTGAAGGAATATCTTTCTAAAGTTGTTTTGAAGATATCTTGCCTCCAGTGGAGTGGGGGGGGGACTTAAAAGTCTGTCATTCTCCAGTCCAGCAGGTTGTTTCTGAAAGTACCATTGGAAAGCAAATATGCACTGAATCCTATACTCATTTGCATGTATCTCTTGTTTGTTAGCAGCTGTTTCTCACTTATCATTCTCACTTATCAGTCACTTATTGTGAATCTAGTGTGGTGCATTTCGGTAGCATGGTTTTCTTGGATCCTTGATTGTCAGTTCTTGCTCTGGTCATCTTTGATATTCTTATTCCTTTCTAATAACTGAAGTTCAGCTTTTAAAGCCAGTTAGTGTATAAAAATTCACCAGAACAAAGGTAACAGGTAACTTATTGGATACACTGGTAAGCAGAAAGGTCACTACAGAAGTAGTGTCTGCAGCCTCCTCTGGCTCCCTCCTCCCTGGCCCTGCCCTGCTCTGCCAGCCCTTTTCTTCTTGTGGTGGGATGGATGTACTTGTTTTATTAGGGATTAGAAGTACAAGAAATAAAGTATTCCTTCCTTCTCTCTTGTAACTGAAGCAGGTTGTGCTATATACGGGAGATGCATTGAAATAAACTTTCTGGTGTAGCAATGTGAAAAGGGAGGAGCAGTTATTATTCTGCATTTCTCATGGTATTCCTCAGGCTGTTATATATCATCTAGATGAAAGCATGGGAATATATTGCATTCTCCTATACTTCTTCAGACTGTGTGATAACTGCTTTTTCACACATTGGAGTACCATTTCTGTATCGTTTCTTTGTTTTATTGTTCCTCCTGCTTTTGTCTCCTGAGGCAAGTGTTCTCCTGCCACTTAAACAGGCAGAAGCTTTTCTCTAGAAAGGAAATGTCCGTTAGCTTTCAGTTGTCATCTTCTGGAAGTGCAGCATATGCACCAGAGAAGTGCAAGAAGATTTCTAGTCCTGCTGCTAGAAATCGGAAGACAGTTTTCTTATGGGACATTTGTCCTTTAAGATGAAGGGAAACAGGAATGATATTCTAGGGTAAATCAAAGGGGAAATATTCAGTGTTCACAATAACTTCTAACACTGAGTCATTCTTAATTATTTTTACAGAACTGTATAATGTGAAAAGTCTGCTTTAACTTGCTGCTTAATGAATATATTAATGATCTTTGTTATCTAGAATTCTGCTTCGTCTGATGGTTATTTGTCAAAGCTATTTCCACATCTGGCTGTGCTACCAGAATACTTGCCTCTGTTATGAGATTACATCTAGAATTTAAGATTTCTGATAAAGCCATACCAGCCTAACCCTGTATTAATTTTCTCAGAGACACTTCAGCATTTTTTCAACATACCATTTGATTGCTTCAGACATTTATTTTCATAAAATCCTTGTGAGACAGAGCAGGTGATGGATTTCCTTGTTCATAGGTGTAACTGAAAGATGCAGAGGGTGTTACAATGCAATTGTCCTTACCCAACTCAAAAAAAATTATTGAGGAATGATCTGATAGTGCTATAACCTAATTCAGTTCCGTAACATGCAAAGTTAGGACATTCTCTTTACTTTTGGTCTATTTAAACATCTATCATATATTCTGTTTATAGTACAACTTTATTAAATGTATTTCAGTAGCAGCTGTAAATACTCAGCCTATCTTAATACCCTGTTCTGCATGTTCTTCATTAAGCACTGAGGGAACAAGGACGTACAGGTACTGACTACATCTGACAAATTCTCTTGGCCATTCTTCATTGTGGGGAGGACATCTTATATCACAAGAAGCTTCTCAGGAAATGGCATTTGTCTACTATATTGTCATTTGTCTTATTTCTCGCCATTGGTCTTGAGCACCTAGATAATTCTGGAATCCCTAATACACAAACTGCTTAAAATGTGATTTTCTCAAAGTTAATTTCTCCTGCACCTTCCAAGTGACTAATGCACAGAGTTTCTGAAAATAAAGTTCCCTGTAGCTCAAAATGGATGTAAAAATGCCAAGCTTTGCAAAAGAACTGTTCTTAATGAATAACAGAGTATTTATGTCTGCTGTTAGAAGTTCCCACTAAATGTCAAATGAGGTAACTAATCCACGTGTCCCTTGTGACCTCAGATAAAGCTTCGCACAACAAGAAGTTCCCACTCTGTTCAAGTACTTGGCATATTTTTGTGCAAACTGGTTTTCATTTTCTTTTTAGTGGATTTTCTGGTGGGGGTTGGCTTTTTTTTTTTAAATTGTGTTTTTTAAAGCTCAAAGATATTTAGAGTTGGTGTCTAGCAGTAATTATTTAGTCTTGGAAGGGAAAGGACTACTTGAATGAAATGTTTGTTTAAGCAGCACATCTTGTTATAGCCTGCTTAATTGTCATCTGTTGTGACAGTTCCATTTGTCTTTTACAGGAAGCCCATGATGGACTTGCTGATCTTTCTCTGTGCACAGTATCATTTAAATCCATCAAGTTATACCATAGAGTTGGTATCAGCAGAAAACAGCCAGATTAAATTCAAACCCAACACACCAGTGGGAATGCTTGAAGTAGAAAAAGTGATTGTAAAGGCGAAACAAATGGATAAGAAGAAACCTGCTCCAGTTATACCAGAGGTGAGAACTAAAATTATTGAGAAGGTAGAATTACTGCTGTATTCAACAAATTGAACTGGTAGCTCATCCTCTTGTTTCAGTGTTTCCTGTTTTCTTTCATCCTCACCTTGAAATGCTTTAGTCTCTTTTTGATAAGCTTCTCTTAGGTAAAATAAATCTCAGTTTGTTGCAGCAAACATCTTTGCTGCTGAAAGAAGGAAATGTTACAATATTATTTGAAGTCCCATGCTTCATTGGCCTTTTGAAAAATTCTGAGATGAAGTGTGGCTGAGGACAGCCTTGAACAAACTGAAAATCAACATCTTGTACCATCTGTTATGCTGTGATATATGTACTCTTCTGATTATATGTTCATTTTCCTTCAATACATACTGTTCTCTCTTGGCTTTTTTTATGTACCCTGAAGAGGGCAGGAGGTTTAAGTACTGAACTAATTTCTGGGTGTTGCCTAAATCTTTCTTCCACCTTTGTTGTTGTGCTGTGTAGAAGAATACTGACTTTTAATGGATCTAAAGCACTTAGAGGGCCAGGAGAGCTCTTCTGCTGCCCTTCTGCTTTCCTCCTACACCCGTGTTCACGAGCACTTGCTTGTGGTGCATCACCTGATTCTGCAGCTGCCCAGTGTAACCCTCCAGGCATGTACCCTGCTGCACAGGCAAATAGCACTGCTGAGGGAGAAAGCTGCTTCACATGTCCTTTTCTTGCATGGGAGGGAATAGAAAAATAGTTCTTAGTTTCTTATGTAATGTTTCTGAACCCGCAGCACTGGTCAAGGTGGCCGTAAGTGGAATTCTGGTGATTATTGTGAGGCTGTTGTAAAAATGCCATTTCTTTCAGAATTTGTGCCGGTATTTATTGGAATTTTCTTCTCTTTAGCAAACAGTAAGGGTAGTGATAAACTACAAGAAGACACAGAAAACAGTAGTAAGAGTTAGTCCACATTCACCCCTTCAAGAGCTCCTATCAGTTATCTGCAGCAAGTGTGAGTTTGATCCTTCACATACTCTACTACTGAAGAGTTACCAGTCTCAAGAACCCCTTGATATGACAAAATCTCTTAATGACCTTGGACTAAGAGAACTATATGCCATGGATGTCAGTCAAGGTAAGATAACTTTTGTAAATTGCTGTTATATGAAAGATAATTACTTAATAATTGTATACATGTTGTAGGGTATTTTACTTCTGAAAATATTTTCTAGAAATTTAATGTATATTTCATTGGTCTTCCACACAATTGAAACTGACTCCTGTGTACCTGGATGTTTGTTTTCAGAAGTACTGTATAAAAGTTTTATTTTCTAACCAAGTGTTCACTACCAGCAGAGTTAGTTGAGTACAAATCCTCACTTAAACATAAAGCCTTCTTTTCCTTCCCTCATACTTTCCCCAAAAACCAACAACACCTTGCTTCTCTTAGCTCCTACACAACATCATGATGACCTGAAAAGAACAGATGTTAGAGAAAATTAGTCTTCTTTAAAATAATTAAAAACCTTAAAAGCCTTAGAGTATTTGGATGGTCTTTATGTCTATTTTTGAGTGCTGCTTGCTAATTTTATAGATTGTGAAGGAATAATAATTGTCTTTTTAATTCTTGGCCACCAGGAACACAATCTACTAACTTTCTAATATTTTGTACAGCTATTCCTAGGCCAGATTTTAACTTCATCTGAACAGGTGACAGGTTTACTGTACTGTAATTAAAAATTTTGTACAGTGTGGTTTGTTCCATTTCAGACATTTCTCACATGAAATTTTACCTCAGTGTGGAAAGCAATAATATTAATTGACTCCTGATACTGACCACTGTTTTATTAGCTTGATTTTATTTCTGCTCAAAAATTGTAGGGCTTGTTGGGGTTTTGTTTGTCTTTGCCCCTCTTTCTACCTAAATATTCCTAATACCTTACTATTTGGTGGTTACAGTTTCAAGAGTTTTCTCAATTTACTTGCTAAAGGTCAGAATGACAAATTTGGACAGTATTTCATTTTCCATAGAGAAAACAAAAATGAAATATCTTGCTCTTCCACACTAGAAACCAACATATTTTAAGTTGCCAAAACGTGTTACTTTGACTACGTGTGCTCCCAAGTGCATGAGTTGTGTTTTGTCTGATTATTTACTGCTTTCATCTACAGACTGGCAAAGCTGCTTTTTGCATGATATGATGTGTGTTTTAGCAGGAGCCAAAAATCCTTAGGTGGGCATACCAGGGGCATATATGCTTTGTACACAGCAGTGCCCTGCTGGAAATTCTTCAGTTCTCTTAATATGAAGTAGTTCAGCATTTCAATTTAGCAGGCAGGTTCAAAGCTCTGAATTTTCCATTATCTTTATGAAAGTAAATGGTGAGGTATAGCTTTTACTTAATAGAATTTAAGTTCAAATTTTATAATATTAAATTTTAATTTACATTCCTCTTTGTTTTCCAAGTTTGGACTGCCTAACCATCCAAACCGGAGCAAACTACTCTACATGCTGATTTTTCTCTTTGCTTGAGAAGTATAAGTGAAGACTCCCTGCTTATGTACACAGTTGCAGTCTGTGTTGCATATCTTCAGGCTCAAGTTCTGGAATGATTTAAGTATTAGGTGGTAAAGATGCACATCCTTTTACTTCTGCAAAGTACCCAGTTAATTTTTCACTAATGTTGAAGATCCAGCTTGGCCTTCTGTGTTTGTATGTTGTTACTACAGCCTTGATTCAGATTCACATTTTCTGTCTTTCTTTTTGTCTTTCTGTAGCCACATCACCAGTTGATTTAAATTTACCATCTTTTCAAGGTATGATTTATTGAAATAGGCAGTGAAACTTAGCACTTATGGGCCATTAGCACCTGCTCCTATTACAACATCTGCTTTACTGTGACATGAGTAATATCTCTTTCCTATCTTAAATGCACATTGCAAATGATTGTGCAGAATTGGATATACACAGCTATATAGAAAGTATTTTTGTCTAGTTTTAACCTTTAGATCAATTTGTTCAATTTAGGGTCATGTTTATATTGATACTTCACCAGACTTGCTGATTTCTGTTGCTCATTACATGTGCATTCAATAGGATTTCTTTAAGAATATTCATTCTAGTAAAATTTTTAAAAAGTCAGTCATGAGATTTATAAATCCTCTGCATAAATAAAACAATTTAAGGAGGATAAATTCTGCAAGATAACGAGAATAGATTTGACTGTTGTTACTATGACTGCTCTGCAGTTATGTGTGCACTGATTGAGTGTTTGCGTGATCTTTCTCCATAGTTACACCTTGTGCAGGCTGGGGCCTGGCTTGTCCCACTTCACACCTTGCCATAAATTTAAGCCAGTAGGAATGGAGAGATGAAAAGTCTGATTTCTCTTTTATTACCTTTGTGATATGAACCATAGCATATGACAAGTGGGGTGGGCAGGATTATGTGCTGCTATTAAGAGCAGCTGAAACTCATCTGCCCTGAGCTCTGAGAAGGAGAGGAAGAACATGGATGCTAGGCAAACTGTTTATTTTGCCACACCTAGAAAAATTATTAATATAGGTGATTTATGATGTGTTTTGTGTATCATTACAGGAGGTTTATGACATGGTGAAATAGTAAGAATGCAGGAGAAATAATCTCTTCATGAAATAATGTCTGGAACTATTGTTTTCTATTTTAGGCTCCTACCAATCTGAAAACATGGACGTTCTGAAGGAGAAAGAAAACAAAGGATTTTTCAGCTTTTTTCAACGAAACAAGAAGAAAAGAGAACAAGTAAGGTGTAACTTTGCATAAAGAAAACTTCTAGAAACGTATGCAGATTGAGCAATGAATACTGTTGATTATTTTCCAGAAAATATATGCAACTGGGTTTCTTTTTATTTCCCACACCTCAAGGCTGCCAGTGCCCCAGCAACTCCATTGATGAGCAAGCCAAGGCCAACATTCATCACGAGGTCTAACACTGTCAGCAAGCAGTACGACTCAAGCACTCTGCCAGCGGAAATGCCGAAGAAACGGAGAGCTCCTCTGCCACCCATGCCCAGCTCCCAGAGCGCTCCGCAGGAGCTCGCGCGAGCCCAAGGCAGACCTGCAGCTAATATTGTGAAATCCAACAGCTTTAATAGGAATGAACAGGTCAGTTACATTTGCTTTACTTCTGTTAAATAGTACAGACATAATAACCCTGATAATCCTGTTGATAATATATGATGAGGTGTCACCGTCGTATTTTCTGGAGAAATCCCTTCATTGGGATTTCTCTCCTGGGAAGCTGAGAAGCCTCAGAGAAAAAGGAAAACAATATTATTTCATTTGCTTCTCCTATGTTTTTCTGCTTTGGAATGTGGTCTGGACATTGTTTACCAACAGGTGATTGTTTAATTGGTTTCATGTGAATTGGTTTTAGCTTATTGGCCAATTACGGCCAGCTGTGTTGAGGCTCTGGAGAGAGTTACGAGTTTTTCTTTTATCTTTTCGTTTTTAGTATCTTTTATTGGCTTATTGGCCAATTACGGCCAGCCCTGTTGAGGCTCTGGAGAGAGTTACGAGTTTTTCTTTTATCTTTTCGTTTTTAGTATCTTTTAGCCTTATGTCTGTATCCTTTCTGTATTCTTATTCTTTAGTATAGATTAGTTTAGTATTCTTTAATATATTATAGATCATAAAATAATAAATTAGCCTTCTAAGAACATGGAGTCAGATTCATCATTCCTCTCTTTGTCTGGGAACTCTGCAAATACAAGAATGAGGCTTGAAATAAATGGAAAATAAAAATGAAGTAATTGCTTTAAAAAATTTTAGCTAGGAAATAACGATAGAAATTGAATTATGCATTATTTTACAACTTAATAACCAAAAGTAGCTGCTGTATTTTGAAGAGGTAAAACAAACTTCTTATATAAATTGTTCTTGTAACCACCTTTTTGTTCTTTTTAGATGAATACCTTATATATTTAAATATGAGAAGGTGGTCTCACTTTATTATAACTAGTAATTTGGGTTATTCCTGTTAATTTTGCATGTTTTAGTTACTTGAGATAATGAGTAGTTTGTTCTTCACAGTATATTGTAGAAAAAAGTGGACATGGAGAGCAGTCTAAATATTGTTCCCAGCAAGTTAAAGATTTTTATTTTAAAAATTGGCTGTATTTTATTTAAGCAATAAGATCTGGGCTACATGTTTGAGTAACCTATATATATATCCCATGACATGCAGAAATTCTGCCTATTTGTGAGAATTTGTGAGAATTGATGCATTAAGTGCTATCCTGATATTGTACATATTGTCACTTATGAATTCCAATAAAATATAAAGGTTAAAATTTTTGTTACCTATATTTTAAATTTTTTTTTCTACTTTGATTTGAATACAATATCTAAAGGTGGTCTTTGGATATGAGGTTATTGACATGCTAGAAAAATTAAATGCAGAACTAAATGAAATCCAGGCCTGAGAGATTAATTTTGGGTTAGAATTGGCAACAAGAAATTTCAGACTGTGACTACCTTTATACAGTGATTTAGTCTTTCACTGATGCACAGAACCACAAGAGAGCACTGTTTAACAGAAGTTCTGCTTTTGTGTATTGTGTCCTGCTGAAAAGCTTTATCATTTGAAGAAGAGAAAGGTTTCTTTCTGAATTTTAGTAAAGAGTAAGAAAATAATTTTTTTTTTTACTTCACCATGTTTCTCTTTTAATTAAGTTCAATTTCTTAAAAAATAGTTTATCAATCTTAACATGCTTTAAATGATTAATATCCTATTATGTCTAAAAGTAATGTATGACTGCTTGGCTGTCACTCAAACAATTGCTTAGATTTATTATTTTGTACTGACATTTCGTAGTGATCTAAAGTGATCTGAGTGAAGTTGAATAACTTACAAAGAGAGGACATCCAGATCAAGTTATATTTTTGTGTATATTTTCTATTTTGTACTACTTTGTGCAACTCACTTGACACTTGGAGGCCTTGGCATGCTTTTTTTAAGGTGACTTCTGTCTCATTTGGATTTGATTGCACAGTGATTTATCAGAAAATGTAGTGCTGTGGCTTAAATGCGGACAAATATTTACTCTTTCCTTTGAATTTTACTAAATCAAGTAAAATATTTTATCTTATGCTATCTACCTTCCTATCGTGTAATGAATGTATTTGGCATAGTACATATTGCTCCACTTCATCAGGGAACTCCTGATAAGGATCCCGTAGGAGACTTCCTTGGAGAATAAAGTTGCTGCTTGGAAGGCTACTGAGACGTTTTCATAGACAGCCTTCCTGCAGTACAAGAGTAGTCCATTCTCCTAAGTGGGAATAGTAATAGCCATAAAAACAACATTTAAATGTTTTTAAACAGTCTTATTTAAATGTGCTACTGAAAGAACTCAAGTTCAACAACAAAATGGGGCAGAACAATTCCCAGAAAGAAATACATAGGTGCTTATTTGACATGCAGACGTTCTCTTAGGAATTCAAAAGCAAGTCGTGATACAAGTGGCAGAAGATGTCATGAGCAAGAAATTTGTAAATTAGTGGCAAGCAGAAATCTGAGGATAAAGGATGAGGTCATCTACCTTTTATTTAGCAAGGTGTTCACCACAGTCTACCTACTTATTTGACATGCAGAGGTTCTCTTAGGAATGCAAAAGCAAGTCTGGTGATACAAGTGGCAGAAGATGTCATGAGCAAGAAATTTGTAAATTAGTGGCAAGCAGAAATCTGAGGATAAAGGATGAGGTCATCTACCTTTTATTTAGCAAGGTGTTCACCACAGTCTACCTCAAATTTTTTGTTGAAAAATTGAGACATACAAACTGGACAGATGAAACACAAGATACGACAAAAAGTGGCTGCAGTTCAAACAGTGGATGTAATGGCTTCAAGCCAGACTGGTTGTAATGTGGAGTTCCCAAGAAATTGGTCATATGGCCAATACTGCTAAATATCTTCATAAACAATCTACTTCATGGAACTGTATCCACCTTCAACAAACTTGAAGTTGGCCCCAAAATGGGCAGAGAGGCAGGTACTCCGGCCACCACTCAGGGAGGCAGTGACAGGCTGAATGAGATTTTAAAAAGATGCATATGAAATTCTCTATCTGAAGTGAAGTATGGCTTCAGTAGCACCAGTAAGCACCAGTACAGGTACCAGTAGAGACTGGGGTGTGGGCATGTCATCCACCTTGAATCCAGTGTACTCTAATTTTATGCTACAGCTGCACTTTGTGTCCAGATTTGTTTCCTGCAGTTCAAGACAGAGACTGAAAACAGGCCACTATGATGTTTAAAGATTTGGAGAAGATAAATTTTAATGGAAAGAAGGCTCAGATAGTATTTAATCACATTCTTCTGATATCTGGATGGTGCTACAGGGAAATCTCTAGTATATTCTTCACAAGGGTGCATGTGGCAGGCTGAGAATCAATGGGCATTAGCTTCTCCAGAGGAAATTCCATTCAGACTAAAGAGCAAAACTCACCACCATGAGAACTGACTGTTGGAATACGTCACTCATGAGAAATGGCAGAAACTTCTTTGCTGGAAATGTTGAAGAGATTCCTTGACAGGCTAGCAATAACCAATTAAAAAGTGTAAGAACTTGTTTTCAACAGAAGGTTGGACCAAATTATCTCAAGAGGTCTCACTTAATCCAGGTGAGCTCTCAGTAAATGAAGCCAGTACAATGGTCACACTAGATCGCAAGTATTTAATTGTAAACAATATAAGAATTTGGTCTGTCATATTTTCTGCTGTTGAAAATGTGTGTCCTGCTGGTAGGACTTAGTCTCTCTCAGGTTGCTCACCAGAATGATTGGTGTGTTTAGCTGGGATATTTAGCATGTCTGGGAATTTCGCTGCAACTTCAGTGTCCAATGAAGTTAATTTACAAAAGTGAAGGTACACTTTTTTTTTTAAGGGTTACTTTTTATCTCTTTTTGCCTTACAGGGAGCATGTAGTTGCAAATCATAGCTTTTAACAATACCTAAGTTCTGTAGCCTGCCGTTCAGTTTACTTGGCAGACTGGATACATACTTTATTTCTTCTATTGACCAGGATGTCCATCTGCATGGGTCTCATTAGGACCCATGTTACAAACCTCTTTTGTAACATCCACATCCACAAGGAAGACACAGTGAAATGTCAGTTTTGCCTGGATGAACTCTCTAGGTTTGAGAGAAATGTGTCAAAGTAGTAATATCAGACAACAGTGAAATGAGCCAACTTTAAGGGAACAGAGTTATCACTGTTGTCTTTCTTCAAATTCTTAACATATTGTAGTCCAGTTTCTCACAGTATGAAAAAGGGTTTTAATATTTACCTCCTACAGCTTCTCCAGTAATTTTCCATTAAAGAAACTGCTTTCTCTTTGTGTGAATTGTTAATATTCTGATATGATGTTTGGAATTTTTTCTGCCTCCATTTCAAGGTGATTAGAATTAGTTTTTAGGGACATGGTCCTATTTTTAGAGGAGTAAATATTGCAGTGGATGACAGGGTACCTTTTACAAGTTATTACATAGCATGATTTGCTTATTTTTCTACATGAGATTTGGAAGATGCCTAGTAAGCTTAAATGGTTAATGTTTGTCCAGAAAATTTTTATTTCAATCAAGTGGGAAGTGAGCATGTTAGTCTCTAATATTGAAATCTCTCACTTATTTGTCAGTTCTAGTTCTGGTTAAGATGACTTCTGTCAGAAGTATGTTTAGAACTAGCAAGTTTAAATACACTTGCAAGTAGAGAGGACTCTCAAGGGTTTTTGCAAAGTGTTGTTGTATAATTTAGTGTGTGTATCTTCACAGTTTTCATAAAAGTGGTTGCAATTTTCTAGTAATAACACTTCTTTAAAAGAAAAGTGTTTGATTTTTTCCCAAAATGACATGGCTGATTTTCTGCCTACTGCTTTATTTATAAAAGCTAGACTGATACATCTGCATTTTATCCCATTAATGTTTCTCTCTTTGTCCTATTTACAGTTATTGTTGGGAGCTTGTGTAAACTATGCTTGGGTAGGAACAAGTGAAGATTTTTAGATAAAACTTCAGTTTTAAATAATGCATAGAACTTCTCAACTCTAGAAGTACAAATTGCTGTTACTTACACAACCCTAGGCTCCCAAAGAAATCTAAATCTCCAGGCTACTTCTTAAAAAAGAAAGGGAAGAAGAAGATGGGAGAATAGGGAAAGGATAGGAAGCAACTGAAAGCATAAAGTACTTCTGAAAAGATTTGTTTAGCCATTGTCACAGGACAGGTTAGTTAGGGTTTCTGTGAGGGGTAAGTTCCATGCTGAAGAAATTACACCAGAGGCTTGCTTGACTGCGACTTGATGGTCAGCTCTTTAAAGGAGAAGTTGGGCAGTGATGCATTGAGCACTATGGACAGCAGGGAAGTTTTGGGTAGAGTCAGGGTAGAGAGGGCTCAGGACTACCTGAAGTTTGCATTAAGGTAATCTGATATTACTCTGAAATGTTTCAGAATTGGTGATGAATATTGCATGCATCCACTTTTCAGTACATCAAATACATAACTTTACTCCTTCATTGTATTTGCTTCTTTACTAGTAAGATAAATGCTAGGAGAAAATAGTCATATTGGTTGTTTGGACAGAATATCACCAGCTGAGTTTCTTCAAATATATTCTGTATGTCTTTTCTTTCCAATGGATCAGAGGTATATTACTTCCTTTGTAGTACTTAGGATAAGTTTAAGTATTTTGGGAAGCTTAAGCCATGTAATAGAAATTGAATGCATGAGCAAATACATATTTCTTGCTGTTACTCCTTGGACATATGCCTGCATATACAAAGGGAAGAAAGAAATATTAGAAATATGAGTAGCAATGTGCTTTGCTATCCCTACATGACACAGTCACCTGTATTTGTCTGTTAAACATGTGTGTAGAGCAAAAGAGGTAGGATGTGGTGATATGAAAATCTCTGTCTAGTGACCCTTGGTATGAGGTGGGCTTTCCAGCACACTGAAATACCCAATACCCCTGTATTCATTCCCAAATGCTTTTTGGTTTTTTGCTTCCATTGCAGCTTCAAAATTACTGTGCCTAGATTACCTTTATTTCCTTTTTTTGAAATGAAAAGAAGGGCAAGGCACTACATCTGCCACTGCTTACAGAAGCTAGAACTTGGGAAGCACTGGCATCCACTAGTGTTTGCTTTGAGTAGGATTTGGTGCCAAATTTGAGACTAAAAAGTTTTCATATCCACCCTTGCTTGTTGCAGGATGAAGAGGGTGTATGGTCTTAAAAGTAGAACTCCTGCATATGTTATAGAAGTTATGACAGAGTTCACTGGTGTTTCTGCATAAACACAGTTAATTACTTTAGTGTTCCTAACAAGAATTTTAATTTAAATGTAACTGATAAAGCATCGGTTATGATAGGCAGTTGGTATGACACATGAACACCCAGATGTATATTCCAAAGCTTTGTCAGATATGTCTTAATAACATAATTTTAATTTTTTTTCCATCTGTTTAAAGTACTATTTTCACATTACAGCCTTTGTTAGTATTTGAAAGCTCTTAATATTCATATGTTGAATAATTCCTGAGAAAATCTGTTCAACACTTGAACCTTAACTGGAACATTTAGTACTTTCTTGAAATCTCTCTTTGCAAATTGTTTGTTTCTTTGGATGCAAAGGGCAGTAGAAAGGCTTATAAAAATCTTCTAGTAGCATTTGCGCTCTTATGCTGAGAACATTTTCCCCCCCCACACACACTTGTTGTGTGCAGAAGGGAACTCTGGTGACATCTGCTCAGCCGAGCGAGCGTGCGCAGAGCTCGGTGCCAGAGGGAGCCCGTGTGGAGCACAAGAGGTGCAGACCCTGGAACAGGGAAATGTGGCTTTGTGCAGAGCAGCGGGGCTGCAGCCTGAGCACAGCTGCCAGAGAGCAGACAAACACAACTGCCCAACTCTGAGGAGGAAATACTTCAGCCACAAAAAACTCCTCATTTGGGGAAATAATATTGTATTTGATATCCCCTCCTGAATAAATTCAAAGGCTGAATACTCTTAATTATTTTTACTTTTTAAGAACTATTTTGGAACTGTGAATAAGAAATTATAAAAGTGTAAAGTTTTTTGTTGTGTGACATTTTAATCTAGAAACTGACTTGTTAAAAACTACTCAAGCATGCAAGTATTTTTAATTAGGAGTGCTGTGTTCCTATCCTCTGGTGTTCTTAAAAGAACATTTCACCTGTGCTTCTTGTTTTCTCCCTTAAACCCTGACTCTTGCTCTGCTGTGAAAGTTTTGAGTTGCTTGCTTTGGCATTAGGGTGGTGGGTAGAATTGAGTGTACATTTCTGGGGAGTGGTCCTCCTTATAGTGCATTATCTGTGACTCTGTTGTACCTGATAGCAGGGTGGGACCATGCAGATGACTGAGGGTGCCCAGGGTGGCTCAGGGGATAGCTTTTCATTCAAAGCCCTGTTCATCCATTCAGGTATTGTACCCTGCAATCTCCTGGGAGCCACCAAACGCTGCCTTACAGACGGCACCTTGTGACAGTGTCTTTTCTGTTGTCATTTTCTTTATAGATTTGATTGTATACAATGAAATGCTGTAGCTTTTGGTCTTTAATATCCCACTTACTGTGGAATCTTTAGATATTTGTTCAGTGGTAGCTTTCTAAACGATAAGCATCTTTTTCCATGGAAATTGACTCGGTCAACAATTCTATTGTCTAATGTTTTTGAAAGGATTGTCAGTGAAACAAGAATATGTGGGTGTCTTTATGCCTTCTCTGTTCCTTGATATTGTACTTTGTGAAGCAGGCTGGTTAACTGAAGCACAGAGAAGTTCTCTGGAGATGACCCCACACCCAACTGCTGTGTGGATCCTTCTAGACAGAAATGAATGTCACTGCAGGATTTTATTATGCTGTTGAGCAGACAAGTGATAGGAATCAGAATTACTACAGAAACAGGCAGCTGTGTCCAGTTCCAACATGCATTCCTTTATTGCTGGGATCCTGAACACTGTCTTTCTGATAGATGTGGATGTAATTTTCTTCAGCATAAGGCAAACTGTAGTTAAGAAAGGCAGGCAAATTTACAACCACTGTCTTTGAGACAGAGAATGTGTTTCTAAAAACAGCTTAAAATGCAATTGGATTGCTATATCATAAAAATATGAGGTCTTCAGAAGGAATTATTTGTCCCTTTTAAAATTACTTTGTTTGTGAATTAAGATTTTTTTTAACTTTTGCTACAATAATGAGGACATCACTATGCTGTAACAATAGCAGGTACTGTAACTTTTTTTTTTACAACTTACTAAATTTAACTTTGTTAAATATTCTAAGACAGTTGTACTTGACAGGTTTTGAAATCAGGCATTCTAAAAATTTTTATGAAAGTTTGGGTATTTCAAGGAGGGAAAGAAGTTCATACTAATTATGTATACAGGCCAATTAGGACTGCTGTTGAAAGAATGGAGAAGGAAACATTGTGTTATGGAGTGGTAGGATGTAGTTGAAACTTCTTTCCACAATGATTTTAGCTACTTTTAGAAAAGATTTATTTTAGGTTTGTAGAATAGCCTTTGGGCATAAAAAAATTCAAATTCTCCTTTAGACTCTGTGTAACAACTGATTTTCTTTTATTGCTTTATGTTGCACATCTGTGAATATATTCAATTACTCCAGAAAATCTTTTTTTTTTAAACAACTCCTTGGAGGAATTAAGATGAAAAACACAATACATTTGGTAATATGTTCTCTCTTTCCCAAATGAACATTATAAATACTTTTGGAGAACAATTACTGGAGCTGTTTCACTGTTTTTCACTGATTGCTAATAATCCTGCTGCCCTGTCTCCCTTGGCAGGCCCCTGTGGGATTAGCACGGAAAGGTTCCCTGCCGCTCAGCGACACCGCTTCCGTGAACTCCTCGCTACGCAGGATGAAGCGCAAGGCGCCCTCACCACCCTCCAGAGCACCAGAAGATCAAAGTGAAAGCAGTAATGAGCCTGGTAATCTTTTTATGCTCTTTAATTGGAAGGCAGCAGAAAGTGTAGCTGGCTAAACATGAAGGTAACACCACCTTATGAGATCAGAACCTCAAGTGAGCGACCACAAAGCTGCAGATGCAAAGAATGCCTTTATTTATGTTACCTCACCAACTTGGGAAGCCTCGAAGCAACGCCCAGGCAGAGGTGCCCAGGTGGGAGCCCAAGTGGGAACACCGGCACTGCAGAGCTCGGTCCATGCCAGACCACTGCCAAACCTGCTCCCTTCCTCTGTGTCAGGATTCACACAGGTGTATGAACCACAGGGCTTTGATCTCACCCACAGCGGGGCAGGAATCTCCAGCATGTCTCACATGATGCTTGTAAATCTAATCGCAGGCCTGTGTTATCTGAACACAGGTGTTCATCTTGTCAAACACACAAGATTAAAAAGCAATTATATCCTATATGTGGGGTTTTGTGCCCCTACTGCAAGTCACTTGAGTGCATTTACAATCATTCTCATCAATCTTCTGTTATTTTCCCACAAGTGTAAGAAAGAGGGGTATTTAGAGCATGCAGATCACAAAAAAAAAAAACCCCAGACAATACCAAATTAATTACAGTTAGGTTAAGTATAGAATTGTGTTTATGTTACTGAGGTGGAGTGCTTCAGATGGAGAGAAAAGATTTGCTTCTCTGGATCAGAGAGAGTATAATAGCAAATGGACTGACTAGAAGAATCTTAGAGAAAGTCCAGTTGTTTTTTATAATTCTTTTGTTTGATGAGAAATTCGGTTTTCTGGTTCAAAAATACCTGAGAGCTGAGATTAAAATATCTGGAAAATGTGACAATGAGCATTGGCTGTTTCAGAGGAATTTCTTGAAGAAATCACTAGTCTGTATGACCATAATCTAACATTTTATCTAGAACTTTTGCTGGTGCTGAAAGCGAGAGGTGGTAAAGGTTGTTGCTTCACTTTTTGCAGTAACAGAGTCAACAGAATCAGCCTCCACTAAAGTGGAAGGAAGAGCCACTGAAATGCAGCCTGAAACAGGTTGGTTGTTTCTCCAAAAGTACTAATAAAATTTACTTCATAGCAAGTTCAAGTGATAATTCATAGCAATAAATTACTATACTATAGATGTGTCATAACTTATAACTAATTTTAGTGCTTCAAAATCAATAAAGTTTTCCTTTGAAGTAAAAATTCAGCTTTCTAAAATAAAAATATGTTACCTTTGTTGTCTACACAAACAAATACAATATATGTTATATTGCTATCTGTGCTGTACATTTAATAAAATAAACATTATCCCTGATTTCTCTCCTTCCTTATAAGTTACAGAGAAGAACTATCTAGAATTTCTGTGATTTTTTTTTTGTACCTCATAACAAGCTTTTCAAAAGCTAAAGCCCAGTGTTGTTTTTAGAACTCTGCTTTGTGCTGCCCTTGACCTGCATAACATAGGGGCAGGAGCAAATCTGTGCCTGGCTTTTGGTTGGCATCTGAACAGCCTTTGAAAACATAAGTTGTAAATCTAAACTGAATGCATAAATAGTTGTTTATACATTAAATTATTTGTTGGGTGTTATGGGAAAAATGTAATTTATGAAAGTATAGCTGTTTAAAATACAATTATTTAGCTACTGAACATAATGCTTTTTTAAATTTATGCAGTTTGTACTGTGAAATACTGTTGTTTGTAAGCACCAGACTGTGGGGTTCAGTTACAGTATACAATAACTAGAAGTCTTCTAAAATTTGCAAAAGCTTTTAGAATAAATCAGTGCCAGTGCAGTCTGAAAAAATAACTCTTCAGTGCATTTAATGAGAATGAAGTATATAAATGCTAAGGCTGTGGAGTGCCACTGTCATTATATGAGGCTAAGCACTCAGTTTCTGTGCTAGTTGACAGGAATTTTTAAGTAGCTTTTCAGCTGTTTTATTCTTGATGCCAGTCAAATTGTTTGGAGTGGTAAAACTAAAATGTACCACAAGAGCTGAAAGTCGTCTGCTAGGCAAATATTTTTCCCCTGGCAAAGGGAGAAAGACAAAAAAATAAGTAATCAGTAAACTTGGGCTTGGTTTGCGTTTAGGGCAATTTATGTAAATTATTGGAAAATACGTTAAGTAGAAACAATATGTAACATACTAAATGGGAGTATGAACCTGTAGTGTGGAGTCTGGGGTTGAAGATCTCACGAAGTTGTAACCTTTCCTTGTCTTAGCTGTTGCAGCAGATGAAAGAGAATAATTAATTTCTGAGTTAGTGGTTTGTTTATTAGTACTGAATTTTTTTAAACTGTCCATCTACTACATGCAATGGGTCTAATATGAGCAAGTTTATCATACTGTGATTTTAAATCAAGTATTTTTTGTTTTCTTATACTTGTTTCTATCTTAAGATTGTTGACCTGTGCTAGAATTTTTACCTTTCCCATCACTGTAATGTCCAAGTGCTGTGTAGATAAACAACCCTGAACTTCAAAGAAATTACTTGTTTATTTTTCCATAGATTTAGAAACTTCTGCTTGAGGCATTTGAGGTCTGTAATGAAATATTTTAATTTAAACTGTAATGAAAAGAAATAGAAAAAGGTAATTATCTTTACTGGGCTTTAGGGCAGTCTATGTTGAGCTCTTGGGTTTACCTTTGCAGTTAGTGACAATGTTCAGTCTCTAGTTTTCCTTGTCTCTTCATGCTGTGTCCTTTGCTGATGACTTAATGCAGTGCAGGGGTTTTTTTAATTGTACATATAAGTCACATAGCACAGCTTCATTGCCTCTTTTTTTTCTTATGGGATACTGCTGCTCTCTGGTGGCATCTCTGAAACTGTCATGAGCCCTGTGTATAAAGGGTCCTTTTAGCAAAGCCCCTCATGCTGTGAGAACCAATATTAACAGGCAGCAAAATCAGATGCAGTGCACCTGTCCTGTTCCTAGTCTGAAAATTATCCGTGTTTGGGTATTGTTTTAAATGGATAAAATAGTTCATTATCACTTAAATTGCAAAGCTGGACATAATTTTAACTTTACCAGAACCCAGGAGTTCCTTCCATTTGCATTAATACTGCTTTTGATTGTCAGGCATCTGGGAAGCATTGTGAGTTTTTGTTTGGCTGTGACTGGCATTCCAGAGTGGTTCTGTTAGGCAGTGTTACATCAGCAAATAAGCAAAAACACTAAGCTGCAAATTCAGTGTTACCTTTTGCATAAAATGAACCACTGCAAATGTTCAATTTGGTGTCTCTTAGCTATGCACTACTTAGACACATATCTGTTATGTGGAGCTATATAGTATGGAATAGGCAACATTTCTCCTGTGAAATAACAGTTTTCCCATGGTGTAAAAAGTGTGTACCTTGACAAAAGTCATTTAAAGACACACATCTACTAGAATAAGCATTGACAGAGAAGTTATGTGAACATTTGGGATTATAAACAATTCTCTTTATCAGTTATGATTTTTATTCACTTTCCCAAAGTTTAATCAATGCTTAGTCTTTATTTTTCTAGTGAAGACAGTAAAACAGTATTCAAAACAAATTTTGAAATCAGAGATTTTTAGAAAACTTTCCATCAAACAAATCCCTTGATATAATCCTATTGGTTACAGTATTTCTTAAGCACCTTGTTAGGGGCTGTAGAGTCAAGAGCAGATTTGCATGATGTAGTCAGACTTTCCAGCTCTGGTTCTTATGAGCAGGCGAGCTCACAGAGTAGCACCAGCCTGTTCTCTGCTGGGCATAGGGTATTCCTGCTGCTCAAAGGAGACTTGCAGTTGGTATGTCAGTCATCAGGGGGGTGTGTGTGTGTATGTGTGTACTTATCTATAGATCTATCTTCACAGTGATGCACTGTAGCTATATTGGTTTAGGGCTACTTAAAACCCAGTGATTAATGTTCTAAGAGAATAAACTATGCAATTTATATTACATGTGGATCTACAGATAAGGTGTATAAGCAGTAAGGCAACAGTATATAGCCAGTATTGCTCTAAGTTCTTCCATGTTACATGTAAAAGCTATAGACTGAGGGTTTGGAAACAAATTGGAATCTGAAGTGCTCCCCTAGGGAGTTACCTGCATGGCATAAGTGAAGGATGATTGTTAAATGTTGTTTGTGTTCAAATGTATTCATGTTTTATTCTGCTGCAGCAGTGATGGCCCAGGTCTGGAATGAGACCCAGTAACAGATGAAAATCCACTAGCAAGCAGGGCTGGTCTTATGCTGACAGATGAGGTAGAGCATTTTTTAAGAAGTGTGAGGGCTGTTTTTGTTTGGTATTATCCATTTGTAGGTCAGGTTAGTCGACCCCAATGCTTGGAAGTGTTTCTAGCACAGCAAAGAACAGACTTTCACATAGCAGGAATGTCAGGAATGTCTCCTACCAACCCAAGCTAAGTTTCCATCCCAGGAGTATAGATACAACTCAGCCTTTGTTACACTCCTCTCCAGAGGAAAAGCAGCAGAGAAATGCCAGCAGTTCCTGGGCATAAAGCCATAGCAGCTCCAGAATTCCATTTCTCTTGTCAGAAGTCCTGGCTATTCTTTGTTGTCTAATTCAGGTTTCCATAGAGTATTTAGACTGAAAATCTCTTTGTTCCTGTTGTTGGTGATGGCTCAGGCCCATGGTATAATAGGTCTCACCAGTAAAGGAGGCAATGTTCTAGAGAGCCAGTTACGGGCTGTGGGATAATCTTAGCCAGTTCAATGTTTGCTCACATTTGTTATGTTTTGTTTATCATTTTGACAGATATAACTTGTCACACATGAAATGATACCGCCATCACTAAAATGTTCCCCCAAAGTATGAGGCTGCTGAGTATGAGCGTTCCCTAGGTGGAGAAGGGTTTGGTGGATGATGACAGGAAGAGAAGGCCCTTATGACTAGTAAACCTGTAGGAGTCCCTGTAATACCAATGTGACATATTTGTATGTACCTGTGCTGAAACCACATGGAAGGAGCTCACCTGCACCACTTTGCAGTCTTGCCTTTCTTTCCTTGGGGATCTGAATTGCCTCTGGATTCAGCACTATGGCATGTGTTGATCATATTGCTTAATGTGTAACTACCAAACACTATTACAAGATTGCAATATAAAACTAAGAATTAAACAGTAAGATATTTGGCTTTTGTAGTTTCTCTGTAACTCTGAATGAGTATCTTTGGTATTGCTTAACTCTTAACTAATGACCCTATTGTAAACACCAAAGTTTCTATTCTGCACTGAGCCTTTCTCCAATACATACATTCTCTCAATACTTTTCTATAACATTGTACTTCTCTAGAGGTACTGGAAGCATTGTAGGATACCAGCTGCTAAAAAAAGTCAGTCTAACATTTTTGTCAATCTTAACTTTTTTCTTTTTTTGTACTCTAGGATCTGTGACTTTCCAGTATTCCTTTTTGTTTGATTTGTTGCCTTTGGTTTACACTTGCAAATTTACTGATACTGCTTAGACTGAAACCCAATTGTCCAAGTGCAAGGCTTGTCCCTAACAGGTGTCAGGGCACCCAAAGCTGATGGGAGTATCCTGGTCAGGTGTATTTATTAATTCAAATACACTGATTTATCTGTGTTCTAATCCAGCAACTCAACCTTTTAGTTTTAACTATTCTCTGGCTGCAAATATCAGTATTTTTATGGATTAGCACTTTTTAATGAACTTTATTTTTGTACTGTAACATGAAGCACTGCACAAGACACTTTTAATATGCTTAGGGTGCTTATGGGAAATTTTTCATAGTGCTGGTGAAACTTGTTCAAACCCTGGGCAAAATTGGTATTTCAGTTACTCTAGTTCTTGAACATTCCTACTCTGATATGCAGGAACTGTGTAGTTTAAAACTCACTGGAGAGCTAGTGGAAGTACAAGAAGTCTGGGTAAAAGCAACTGTCCACCTCCATGAAATTTGGGGTTATGAGATAAATAAAAATATATGTAACAGTCTTAATTCAATACTTGGGTTAAATATGAGAGAATTCTGTGAAGTCTGAATGGATCTCTTAAAATTTAAATTATTTTAAAAATTTACCTGAATTATGAAAAAAAAAATTGTTTTCCTTCTTCAAACTATTTTTAGACTTCCTTGAACAGTCCCTTTTAATCTACAACCTGCATCGAGAGCTGTGGGTTGGTTTGGGTTTTGTTGGTTTGGAGATATTTTTACTTTCTTTTCCTTTCTTTTGTGATTGTAGATGTAAAGAGCTCAGAATACAACCTGGAAGAAATTGATGAAAGGGAGGAGATAGGTGTGCAACAGGGAGAGGACAGTGGAAGTACCAATACCTCTCCTGGGACAGGAGAGGTTACTGCAGCCTTCAGCTCTGCTGAGGTATCACTGGAAAATGACAAAAATGATCCTGCTTCATCAGCTCCTGCTCCTGGCAGTGTTCCCACAGACAACTTGCAAAGCTTTAAGGAAGAAAAACAAGAAAATATGAGCACAGATGGCAAGTAAGTACGTTTTGTGACAAAGAAAGGAGCATTGGGGGGACAATGGGGGAGGCAAATAAAATGCAGAGTGCTGTTTCATTGTGAAGCACAGAATAGAGAATTGTGAGAGAGGAATGAGCTGTAATATGCTTAGCTCTCATTGTAGCACTCTTCTGTTCACAGTAATTCATGCAGCTTTTCAACAAAAATAACAATGAAGTGTTCTGCAGTTCTGTTTAATCTTTCCTTTCCTTACCACTCAAACAGCTGGAGCCCAGAAAAGCTGAACCCAGTTCTAAAATGCCCAGTGTATTTACTAGAGCAGAATGCTGCAAAAAATTTGGATTGATTAGTTAAATAAAAATGTACAAATTCTTTCTTGCGGATAGGGGGAAATGAATACAACAGCCATTTCTGTTCTTTTGGGCATGATTCTTATTGCTTGCATATTTGTTTTGGCTTGAATTTTTATTTTTTCTTTTCCTTATATGTGGTCTTGACCTGTCTCAATCCATTTGCTCTCAGGAAAACAAGTTAATTCAGCTTTTTTAAAGAATAAACACATTAGTTTCCTTAACTGCTCTTTTTCCCTTCTGGTGATGCTGTACCTTTGCCCTTCAGCATGTTTGTTAAACTACCTGACTCAGCAGGTTTCCAACATGAGTTAGTGCCTGCTTGAAATAAATGTTGATTGTCCAGAGAAGTCCCATTGTGTTAATGCAATTCACTATTTCTCTGTTCCCTGGGGCAACTAAGCTGGCTACTGTTCCCAAATTAAATTGAAAGAACTATTTCGATTATTGTACTGAAGCCAAAACGTGTGACTGCCCTAGTAGCCAAGAACTTTCAAGGTAGTAAAGAGAGGTTTAACTTGTATTTGAAGGGATGTTTTTGTCCGTCCAAGGCCACATGTGTCTTTGCAAAAATCTTTGATACTCTGTCCTGGTGAAAATTGTCTCAGTTGCTTGGGTGTTTCTCCTCTTTATGCAGCTAATAAATTGTCTTGAATTTGCAATTTGTCAGGCCTGTGTTATTGGGCCAGTTTGCCTAATTATCCAGGGGATTTTTCTTTCCCTTCCTCCCTATGAATTGGTAGTAACCTTTCATGTCTTATAATCCTGGTGATGATCAGGTGGAAGGTACTGCACGCTGGCTTTAGAGTTTGGCAGCTGCTTCCTGAAATATCTTGGGGATTCCAAAATGAGGAGTGGGGTTTCTCTGACATTATATTTTTGGAAAACTTCAGATAATTTTGGTCTTTTTTATAAGATCTACTTACTTTGAGAAGTATTTCTTTTTAATCCAGCCTGGGATACATGCAAAATATTCCAGTTGAAACCAGTAATTTCTGTATTGATACTCCGTGGTGTTTTGTGGCTTTTGGGTTTGGTGGGTTTTGATTTGATTTTTTAAAATATTCCTATTAAAAATCTAGTACAGCCTGTTAATAGTTTTAGCTCAGTCACTCAGCTCTGTTAAAAGGAATGGAGCTAAGCAAGAGTACAGAGTGCAGGACTAAGCTTTAACTTTCTTCCAGCAATAATTTTGAGAGCATATGCTCCTGTTCAGCAGTTTATGGGACACTTACAGTGTGTTTGGAACTGTACAGACAACACAAGCATCGATGGTTATTAAGAAATGTATAATTTTAAACCATTCGAAGCAGATGTGTCCGCTCAAAGCACTGGTTCTGACAACTAATGCATTTGGTGTGGCAAATAATTTGGAATCTTCATAATGCCAGTATTTCTATATGGGCATATTATAAAAATACCTTGAATGAAGTTTGAGGTTTTAATAACTTTTTATTAAGGAATTTTTAAGTATTTTTGCCTTTTTCATTTACCTTTAGAAGCCAAGGACTTAATATGTCCCTGCCAACCCAAAAAATAAGGTTTTTATTCAGCACTTTTGCAGTTCTCTTGTCCCCCACAAAATGAGGGAAATAGATATTGTATGTGTTTCTAAGATATTTACAATGCAAGTAACATGTTGTGTGTGTGTTTCTTTGCTGTTCTCAAGGTATTTCTTGAAAGGGACTACTTTGAGAAGTCTGTATTGCTCAGTTCATGTGTGCGTACACAGTCAGTGTCTCGTGCAGTGTGGTGGGGACAAAGCCAGGGACACATTTCAGATTGGGGGATGTCAGAACACTTCATATGAGTGAAGAACCATTGTGGTTTCACTGGAATGGAGTTGCTGTTGGAAAGTGGGTTCTTCAAGCTGCGCATGTAAACAAAAGGAGGGGGAGAAGAGAAGGGAAGACTGATCATCTGCTTACACAGAAGTGTGGAGCTGCATGTCATTTTGGTAAAATATCATGGCAGCATTTCCTCTTTTGTTTTTTTTAAGTCGATTCTGTTGAGTATTCCAGTGTTTGGCAGAGCAGTTCTGTTTTGTCCATCTGTGTTTAGAGAATATTGCCAGTTCTCTTGCATCATTCCTTGTGTTTACTGAAATGAATGATACCAGCATATTTAATGTACTGTTGTGCTTTGCAGAGGACTACAGACTAAGATAAGCAGCGAGGATGCTGGATTTCAAACAGACAGGAAGCTTAAAATTTCAGATCAAAATAAAACTGATGGTGAGTAGTTCCTACTTGTTGTTAATACTTGAAGCTTGAACTTTTCTATTCCTTTGAAGAAATGGTTATATAGTCAACTCTTGGGCTGTTATCATCAGATTATTTTCTTTACACTTGCTCTAGCTCTGTTGTATTTTCTTTGAGATGAGGTGGCAAGTATTGGCTGCAGCTTTTGGGTTTTTTGGGGTTTGTTTTTAATATATTTTTGTTTTAGCAGTAGTCAAAGCTGCATCGTGCTCTTATAGGATGGTGTGGGTGGGACAGTGCTGAGGAGGGGGAAGGCTGGACACACAGGCAATCCTGCCACGTGGGGTGACATGGCTGCCACATCCCACCGGGGAAGAAGAAGCCATCAGTTGTTCTTTGCTTAGGAAATTAGGGTGCGTTTTCTGCATGAAAATGCAAATATTTTTAAGCACAAATAAAATAAAGTGACACACTGATCTGAAACGAAATGACGACATCCTGTGCATCTAATGGGTCATAAATTTCTCTGTGGTTTTTGTGGCGTGACTGATTTATTTTGCTCTTTTGTGACACTGATTTTCAGATTTATATATTAGGCCTTCTGTTGTCTTTTATACTCAGTACACCTCTGTTAATAAATCATAACAATACAAGTCCTGTTTATATGTGATATAAATTTGCACTACCATTTTATAGCATACATGAAATGCGGCTTTTTCCCCCACATAAAATACCACTGTATATGACTATTCCTGAAAAATTTAATTTTTACCAATATTGTGTTTAAAACAATTTGACTAAAATATTTATGTGTTTGGGAGATGATCACATGTTTAGTCCAGGGGTAGAAAATTGAATTATCAGACCAACTAAATCATAGGAAAAATAGGTTTGGCAAATTGCTCTTATCCATATGTTTTTCAGTTGTTTTCTTGTACAAATACATAAGGTGCAGTTGACAAGATTTGTAACATTAAAACTTAAGAACAGAAGCCACAAATATGTAGAACTAAATAAAAACTGCATCTAACTTGATATTGAGTAGTCCTTGAGCTCTTGAGTTACTGATGTCTATAAAATGAACTGGAATTCATTAGGACTTTTAAAATTGTTGTGGAATAGTTTTTTCTATTAAGTCTATGCATGGTATCTGTAACCTGTTTATTAAGGAAGAATACTTGAGTTAGAATACAATTATTTGACAATATTAGTCAAATATATACATTTCTTTAAAAGGGCTACGGAAAATATTGGCATCAGTGAGAAGCTAGTAATTGTTACTAAATACACTGGATGCAGGGCTTCATCATGTAATAAGGAAGCTTGAATCTTTTTGGCATTTGTATTAATTTTGAAGTCTTTCTTTAACTTAAAGATCACAGTGATACAAACCTCCTTCCAGCAACAGAAGAAGGGAAAGAACTTCAGACAGCTGAAATTAAAACAGTAGATTTTCAAGAGAATAACAAGCTTGAAGTTGACAGACTATCAAACTGCCAGGCATGTAAAAATGACATCTCTGTAAGTCATAGGAATTATCCTCAACTGATTTCAGAAAAGCAAGGTGGCAAAACAAATGCAACTGACTTGGACACAGTAAAAACTCAGGATGTTGGAATCCAGACTTTGGATAGCAATTTGGGAAGGACAGCGCAGAAGGAAATAACTGTTCCTCAGGGTGTTGAATCATCCACATTTAGAGAACTGGTTCCTCAACACAACAGAGATAAGAACAACTCCCTTGCTCAAGTGATGCATGGAAGGCATCAAGACAGTCAAGATACTTCAATAGAACAAAATCTTGAGACACAAGAAATAACTCATAAAAAAGTAATTCCAATAAAAGACCAGAGTCACATCTGTATAAATGGCAGTGATTTTGCTTCACCAGAAACAGCTGCTGAAACTCTAGATGACTCTCCTGTAAAAGGTCAGCCTTTTTATAGACAGGACGCCAAACCTAAACCCAAACCTGCTAATGAAATTACAAGGGATTACATACCAAAAATTGGGATGACTACTTATAAGATAGTGCCTCCAAAATTCTTAGAAATGATGAAGAGCTGGGAATCAGAAGTTCTATCAGACCATAAAGATCAAGAATTGTCTACTTTGGGAGACCCCAAAGAATTCATAGTGCAAACTGAAATTCCTCATTTGTCAAAAAGTGTGGGTCCTTTACAGGTTGGGTCACAGAATGAATCTGCAGCAGCAAATGGTCTGCTGCAGAGAGTGAACAGCATTTCTGAACATACTGTGACCTCTGGAGCTGAGATTACTACTGAGAGCAATCAGATGGGAAAAGAGTCTTTCAGGCAGCCTGTCCCACTGATGCTAAACTTGGATAATACAAATTCTTCTTCTGAGACTCAGGACAAGTCAAATGCATTAAGTCCATTAAGTCCTACAATGAAGCCTAGTTCTTTTTATCTGCAGATGCAACGAAGAGCGTCAGGTCACTATGTGACATCTGCAGCTGCCAGAAGCACAGTTTGTGCTCCTAATTCAATTCAAAATGAAGTTAAGAACACAGAGATGGGTAAAAAAATCTCATCACCTGATTTGACTTCTTTGGCTTTACAAAAAACAAGTATTCCCTCTCCTCCTGCAGATCAAGAAAAAGCTGATGATGGAAAAATCATTGAATCTTCCACTTCTCCTGTTAAAAGCAATAAGCCTTTAAATGTTCCCTCCTGTCCTCCTCCCTCAGCACCACTGAATCTAAAAACTCTCAGAACTTTTGCAGTTCCAAAGCCATACTCCAGTTCAAGACCATCCCCTTTTGCTCTTGCTGTCTCCTCTGCTGTCAAAAGGTCGCAGTCATTCAATAAGACGCGTACAATCACTAGCCAGGCACCGAGAGAGGAATTTCCAGTGGAACTCTCCTCTGTCCCTTCGGCAGCTGGATTCTCCTCAGCTACCTCCATGCCTGAAGTGAAAAGTCCTTCCTTACAGACCATAACAGCGGGGTCACAAAATAGTCTAATGGATAAGGTAAATTTTACTTCTAATACTAATTGACTGTGGATCCAGTGCCATCAAGTGCACCTGATGTAAAGGCTTGTTTCTGAACTGCTGCCTGGCCAGAAAGTGCTGTATTTGTGCAGGCAAAACACCCTGTCCACCTGGTGTCCACCAGCAGCACAGCTTTACAATGAAGTGCAGGAATACAGGGAACGTTAAAAATGAAAGCAACATCATTCAGATGATTGCAAATAATTATTTCCTGCCATAATTAGCATCCCCTACTTTAAAGAACTGTAAATTAAATAGTCATATATCCAGTGTAATACTTATTTTTATGTTTGGAGTGTTTACAATTTGTTCTTTATAGTTTTCTTAAATTAATTCTGAGTGGTATGATCCATTTGGCTTCAAGTGGTCATGCCACAAGCACACTTGAATGGAGCTATAAAATTTTGCTAGCATAATTACTTGAGAGAGAAACTATGTGCTGTGCTGGAAATGTGGCTGATGTCAGAAATCTTGAACCAAGCAAACACTAGAATGGCAGCAGTTTGCTATGCAACCTTGTGCCAGGTTGTTTCAGATTTCCATTTATAACTAATTCAGATGAAAACTGTTTGGCTTCTTTTCCTTCCACTTCCTCCCTTTATAGAAAGACAGCCATGTGCATAGTGAGCAGAAGAGTCAGGCGCAGTCAGGTGCTTCCCCTGGCCACCCACGCCCTGTCACCAAGAGACAAACCGCGATGACGCTGCCGCGTGCTGACCCCGAACAGATCCACCAGAGCCTGCTGGCTGCAATCCGCTCTGGAGAAGCTGCTGCCAAATTGAAAAGGGTGAGTTTTCATCACTGCATCCAAAACAAAGAACTCATGGTACTTCCTTCAAAATTACCATACTAATGCCTGATTCTAAAAGCAGTTAGTTTTGGCACAAACTGCTGCCAGGAGGTCTCTTAACAATGGGAAGGGAGTTGGGGAAGAGGGTCAGTTTTGCGTAGTAAACTGGTGAATGCACCCACAGAGCTCCAAATGTCTGTATTTTCATACAGTACAAACGTAATCAAAATCTTCCTGAAATGAAATAGAAATCTCTAGGTTATCATAAAGTATCTTGTCCATAAAATCTGACTTGCTTGTGTTTACATGGTTTGAAATGGTATGGCTTTAGAAACTGCTGAGCAGCTTTGTTCTAGACTTGAAGTGGCTGCAGCCTTTTGCAGGCAAATAACACAGTTCTGAAGACAATTTTCCTATTTATTACACTTTATCAGGTCCTTAGTCTGTTAGGCATCATAACTAAAATATTTCTCAATCTTTTGTCAAACAGTCCTGGAAGGACCATCTTCCCCTACCTGCTCTGGTTAAAAACTTTCTCTCCTGAAATTATCATACGTATCTCTCATTGGGTAAAACAGTCTACATTTTTAAAATCTGTACTGTTTTAAGTTTGCAACCAGAAAATCATAGTCTCACAAAGTTTTCTTGACCTCACATAGTATTTTGCATTCTGTTTTGAGGAATAATTTTTCATTGCAGAAGGTCAAAGAAATTCAGTAGGTTTTTTTATTTCCCTTTTTTCCACTTGAAAGAACCTAATCATGTGTGGTAAGTGGATACATGGGACATTTTTATTTGTTTGTTTGTTTTATGGAAGTCTTTGATTTCCTCGGGTCAAAATCTTGCAGTGAATGGTCAGATAGTGGAATGTTTCATTTCATAGGTTTTTGTTTCAGTGTAGGAGTGCAACATCCTCTCTGAGGCTTGTAAATCTCCTTTCCTGGGAAAGTTGCAAGCATGCTCAAGTAGGGTTTGATCTCTAGTCAGTAAAAATGGAATATAATACATTGTAGAATTGCTTCTAACTACACGTCAGTAATCATATTAAGAAAAGGATAAGATGAAGAAAATGCTGTATTGTTCAAAATCCATTAGAGGTAAAATCTGTTCTACCAGAAATACTGTTTGGGTTTTATTTGCTTATATTTTTAGGATTTTTTTTTTTCTTCTAGTGCATAATTACATTCTGAATAATATGACACTTCATTTAGTTATTCATTCATTTTAATAGAAATGTTCTTAGTGTAGAATTGACCCATATAGTCTTTATCAGTCTAGGTACTGTAAGAATGGCATGGGGAAGGGGAGAGAGATAATGACTGAAATTGGTTCTCCCTTTCTCTTTTGTGGATGGGAGATGTGCTTTGTCAGTAAACTGCATGTTGAGACTGGGGTGATGAAAGGACTTTTTAAGAAGAAATTATAATAATGAAGAAGCTGTAACCATAAAGAAGAGCAGTTTGCAGCAGAGAAATCTGAACCAGGCTTAAAAAAACCCCTGGAACACAAACAAAATGCAGTGAAGAACTCACTGAAATTTTGCCAAGCATAAAATTGTACATGCTGTTCTTTTCACTCTCAGAGTGCATATGCTGTGGTACAGGTATGTCTGACAGCAGAAAGAGATTTTTTTGGCCTACAGCAAATTTAATAAAAACATGGTCTCATTTTATGTTTAACATGGAGAACTGGCAGTAGTGGGACAGAGAAATGAAGCATTTTGTATCAATAAGTTATTTGCACCCAAAAGTGCTATTGAGAGGATTTCTAGAATGCATACACCTCATACTTCCAGTATTGCAGTCACCAAAAGGAGTAATAATCTGATCCATTTGAACAATGAGAGATGTCTGTCAGGTACTTGCTTCTCTTTTTGCCTCTTACCATAATCTCTCTTCTTGCAGCTCTGAGAATAATTTAAAAAGTAAAATCCTGGCACGACTTGCCAAGATCTTTAATTTTTTTCACCCTCTGTTTTACTTAATATGTAGTGAGTATGCCACACTGAGATATGTGGCCTTTTGTGTTGCTGGTCTTTCCTGTTCAATAGGGCCCTCAGTAATTACTAAACTAAAATGGGTCAAGTGAGGTTTCTTTTTAATGATTTTGTTTTGAGAATTGTGTTTAGTAAACTGTGTGCTGTGGTATGTGGTTCTCATGGCTGTGGAGCATCTACAGCTCCCATTAACTCCAATTGGAGCTGTTGGGTTATGCAGTTCCACTGAAAATCAGGCTTTGGCTATCTATGCTAAAAGTTATGGTTTGTTTCTGATAAAAGAAACATTACTATAGTATAAAGTGTTAGAAGATATAGTAAGAAATCAGGTCTGTTCAATATGTAATAAAAATGTTTGGTTTAGTGATGTTTTTCAAGTACTTCTTTCCCCCCTGGTGTGGAGAACGACTAAAAATTATGTGTCTTTTGAATAATTATACATGAAATTTTTAGTCAGGATAAAATAAGTTTCTAAGAAATGTCTTCTGTTTCCTCTTCTGTGGAATATATGCATAGTTAAGAAATCATATAGGAGGTCTTCCATCGCAATGAGAAAAACACTAAATGAAGTAACATTGTGTAACGTATTAGAGTGATAAAAATCTGGAAATTTAGGTTAACATTTCTCTAATTTTTTTTTCTTTCTTTTTTTTCCCCCCACCATGCCTCCAGGTTGGTCCTCCATCAAACACCATAGCTGTCAATGGAAGAGCCAGGCTTAATCCTTTGTATCCCACAGAAGCTAAGGCTAATCCCTAGATATTATACCAAATACTTTGCACTTTACTACTGCTTCATAGGCCAACTTAATACTAACTATAAATTTTTGAAAGTGTAAATGCAAGTATATGTTAATATATTTTTGTCAACAGTAATAACAATTTCAAGCTGGATCTTTTGATGCCTTGAAAAGATTATTAGAATATGTAAATTATAGTAATATTTTGCCTTTTTATCTTTATAAAGCTGACTTTGCTGCTAAAAAGTTTTAAGACAAGGTGTAGGTGAGCTTTGCTTATGATAGAATGAGAATTGAAGATTCTTGATTTTAGCCTTCAAGACTAAACAAGATGTAGCACTATGCTGAAATTACAGATTGGAAGAGACCTAAAAGGTTTAGATAAATAATTAATTTTGAATTGTATTACTTTAACAGATTGTATGAACTTAAATATACCACATGCTGCCTCCATATTACTTTATTAAATTAAAATTGTAATTAGTAGAAATCTTAATTCAATGCAATACTTTGTTTCTGTCTAAAAAAATAGCTGTTTTTCTTCCTTTAGCAGACAGTAATTGGGATATGTATTTGGATTATTTTTTTTTTTTACTTTCCTGTAATTGTATTTCCTGGTAGCACACACACAAAAAAATCAGGACATAAATTATTGGAAACTTTTGTACTACTCAAAAATCTTTTCTTAACAGTAGCATGACATGATGTTTCTCAACTACTCTTTAAATATCTGTATATAGTATTTACCTAGAACTTAGATAAGCAATAATTTTCATGAGCTAATTATGTCTTTAAGTAACTGTCAACATATAGTCACTTACTAATGAAAACAAATTCCAGTTTTGATACTTAATGAAATAGAATATTTTTTTTACTAAAGGTATAACTAAAAAATGAACTTTGGACTTGTTAATATAAGATATTTCAATCTTAAAACAGCACAAAAACACATAAATCATGCTTATGTCAGATATCATATTTATGGATTCAACATTAAGTACAAAAATAGGAATCTATTAAAAGAAAATGTTCGACGTTGTATTTTATCTATTTTGAGTTTCTTGTCAAGATTATACATTTTGGGGGAGGGGTGGAAATATGATCACACTCATGATGAAATAGCTACATTATGGATGCATGCAGCAAGTCCTGGGGTATTTGCCATATTAAAATATTTTTGTGCTGGACTTGATTTAAAATTAAGCAATTGTATTTAGTTTCTGTTCTCTCACTATGTATATATATATTGTACTTTAGAAACATTATGTAACTCAGTTTCAGTAACTGATCTGTGTGTGCATTTTAAAATTGTTTGCTGCCAGGTTTTTGTGCAATAATCTCAAAGAGGTCTAATTACTTTCCTAGTCCAGAGTCAATTATCAATTACAAGTTATGGTGTTAACTTAATGCTGAAACCCTTTAAGGAATATTTTAGTAAAAAGAAATTCATAAAGACATCTGAAAATTTTTTTTTTCATTGCTTTTCACTCCTGTTTTCTCTTCTGTGTCTTGGTCCCTTGTCAATGTGTGTTACCACTTCCATGTCCTATTTGTTCTTGCCTCCAATCAAGAGTTCATTCCAAGGGTGGTGGAAGCTCACGTGGTAGTTCAAAAGACCTGTTTCAGGGTCTGACTACAAAAGAAAGTTTCAACTTTCACTTGAAAATAGTGAGATAACAGACATAGGGGCTTTTCTAGTTTCTAACTGGGGCTTACATTCTAGATTTCACTGTCTTGAGGGACAGACTTGAAAATTGTAACTTACTCTCTGGATTCTAGTCTGTGTTCATTGTGATATTTGAAGTCTGTGTTTTAGGCATTCCTATACACCATGCTGATCTGAAACTGCCAGAGAAGGGGTTGCATTGTGAAAAGAGTGTTTTCCTTATACTTTGGGTTTGTGGGAGTCATGGGGTTTTTTTCAAATGTTGGTATTCTCTGCCAAGGTGACCAAAGTTATTTAATAAAATAATTTAATCTTCATCTGTGCTAATAAAAATATATATGATGTTTCACTTTTTCAAACAAATCAACATAGTCCAATTTCTTGTTTTGGGGAAAGTTCAAATAATCATGCTTTGTTCTTTTCTTTAGTTTTGACAACAAAACTGTACTACTGTATGTTTCTTAGTCCCATATATTAAAAATAAACTGCCTTTTCATGTGAACTCCTGAAGGCAAATATCATCTTATGTAACAGAGATTAAAACCACCTTGCTTGAATTTTAGGGTTTCTTCTTTGTGTAACTGAACTCGCTTGATAACTAACTGAAATGTCTACACATGCTATAGTACTGTGAAACTCTTCAATGAGACTTGTTACTAGCTGGCAATTTTGTTTAGCTAAACTTTCTCTTTCCCTCTTCTTCCAACATGTATATGTAAGACATTTTTAAATCTTGCTATTGCATTTCTACAGATGCTTTTTTTTCTTACACTCTTTTATTAAAGTCTACTAGAGAAACTCTTGTTGATGAACTCGATGTGTTTATTCATTATTCAACCATAAAAACATTTCTGTTCAAGTAAAAGGTGTTTCTAGTAACTGCAAGCCCAAGCTAGGCAGCATTTAATTTTTGTTGTGAATACGTTACATGGAGGGTAAACAGACTATTTTTTGAGCCCTATTTTTTTTTTACTTAATATTGTTTACTATTTTTTAAGTAAGAATACTTATAGTTTGGACAACATATATAACAGATGTTTTCCAACAGGAGGCGACTAGTTACACCATACCTCTTATAATCACCTTGCTTTTGCATGGCAGATGCAAATGTTTGGGAATGAAAGTCAGGATACTGAAGTAAATGAAATGTCAGTGTAATTGTCCAGACAGAGCAGCAGGTCCCAGGGAAGGTGCATTATAACCTACTGGTACCAGTTCTTTGAAGAAGCAGCAGGTATCCACATTGCACAGTGCACGGTTCAGACTCCAGGGCTTTCAAGTTAAGGAGGGCTAGCAAAGCAGAGTTAGGTAGTAAAAATTATCTTCTTAGCTATTATAGAAGATATATTTTTAAATTTATTCTACAGAATAATAAAATTAAGATGTACCTGTAAAACAGATGTACCTGGAGAAGGGAGCAGTTTTGCTGGGACAGCATCACCAGATAATTTTTGGAAATGTTCTTGTGACTAAAGGCCAAGGTAAGAGCATCATACTTTGCCAGCTACAAGATATTGGACCACTCAGTGTCTCCATTGTGGGATGTATATTAAGTAATCAGTGCCTGGGTTTTTCCAGCTACTTGTAATTGTAACATACAACATGACAATCTCCAAGGAAGACATGCAAATTATGTGGGTATGGACAAGAAGCATGGAATCACACACGACAGCACCTAATACTTTAAACTTTGTTTATTTCAGATAGCTGTTACTGGCCAAAGCAAACATTTTCAGTTGGAGCTACTTAGAATCTCATTTTATGTTGCCAAAAGGTTTGCAGTACTTCTCTTAAATAGAAACAAGGAACAAGTGCTGTTGAGCAGTAGGGTGTACATCCTTGAATGCTTGGCCAGACTGCATCCGATGAGGTGTTGGACAACTACAGCAAGATAAAAGACTAAATGTAAGTGGCTAAGCAGGTGGCTTGGGAGCCAAACAAATAGAGCTTCTTGCAGAAGGGAACATGTTTTTTAATTTTTCTGTCTGGGTTAACTGACTGTGAGGCTGAAGTCAAAATGGTGTATTTGGACTGGAACTGCAACAATCATGGGCCCAAAAGTGTTTGTGGATGCTGTGAATGGTCTGAGGTTCTGGAGCTGTGGTGTTCTGTTACTGCTTGGCTGCTGATGGCATAGCTGAAATATCACTTGTAGATAGATTGCTTATGAAGTCTATTTTGGTGATAAAGCAAAGCTGTAGCAATATCAATGGAAGTGTTTCACAGCTTCTAATTGAAAAGCTTGCTTTGTATGAGGGATTATTTTATACAAACCAATTGAAAAATCACAGCTAGGATGGATGTTTTTTCTTTGAAATTTCTGATTAGGTAGCTTTGTGAGAGCTTTGTCCTTGTTAAGATGACATGAAATTTCCAGGTATGGAAAACTATGCTTGTTAAAAACTTAAATACTTAATTCTGTTTTATCTTCCTTGAAAGAGCTATTTAGTATGGCAACTAACACAGAAATTCTTCTTCGAGAGTCTATTGTGATGTATTGTACATAAAATTGCATTACTTTTTGTCATCTGTTCCTACTTACTAACATAAGCAATTTACTTTTTTGGTGGGTTTATGTCTTCAAGGAGCCTATTTGGAAGAGATGTATAGTTTTCTCATTTTTAGCTGTATTAAACCTCACATTCACTAACAGTACAACAGCTAGTGTTTAAGTGAAATAGGAGATGAACACTTCTCTTTTCACATCCCCCCATCACCATGAAAAGATTGCCAAAACTGTTAATGGACTAAATTATTCCTAAATTATTCAAGACAGTTAAGAGAAAAAAAATAATGGGAGGGGGAAGGAGAAGGGATGAGGTAGAGATAAAAGGAATTTTGCTTTTTTTTATCTGGGTGCTTTTCTTGAACAGCATGTTCCACATTTGCTAATAAAGTGATGGAAGAAAATCTCTTAGCATTGGGAAAAGGAAAAATAAATGTATCCAAAAAGAAAATGAATAATTTTAGGAATTTCCAACTTAGTAGTAGTAGTATTTGTATAATTTCAGTGATTGTGCATGTATCGACCTGGAAATAATTAGGGCTGTGTCATTCCCAGCTGAGATAGAATTCTAGTGCCAAAAAGAATCTCAAAGAGTTTAATTGGAATGTAAGTTGCTAATTCCTCTGTGAACTTCCCAAACTTTGATAACAGTCTTGTGCCCATAACATAGCAGTGTCATTATAACCAAACACCAGTGATGTTTCCTTGTTAGCAGTTTGGGATTGTACAATGAGTGTATTTTTAGTGGCTGTTTTGTTGATAGCAGCTGTTCTGGGTGAAGAACAACTGTCTTCTGTTTCAACAAATCTGCTTGGTGATTTCTAAAACATTAATTTCCATGAGTGTCTGGGCATTCCCAAGGAAAGCTTATAACAGGAGTTTGAGGGGTAGGGTGGAAAGCTTATTCTTAAGTTTACTCTTAGTCATTTCAATACTCTCAGAACAACTGGTACACATTTTACTGAGAGATGGGTCACTTTTGATACAAATAACAAGCATGATATTTCAGCTGTGCTTGTTAAGACAATACTAGAATGCAATACTCAGAAATTCCTAGTCTACCAGAACTGATGGAATAAACTTTCTTTGGCCTCTTTATCTATTTTACCAGTTGTTCTCAGTACTAAGCAGGGCAGATTTTGCTTTGCCTGTTACGTTTGATGTCATCCCAGCCAGAGCAACAAGAACACGCTAAAATACCGGACATCCAAGGAAATGGTCACAAGTGAAAGAATAGTTTAAAGAATTCAAATATTAAAGATGAGATTTGTGTATGTGGTGGTGAACATCCAAAGAGAGTAAAGGAATTGAAGCATACAATCAGCCCAGGGCAGAGGGAGAGTTAAGTCCACAGAATCTCTAACAGCTGTTAGAAAAAATCTGTCCAACAGTGTCTGTTTGCAAGTACTAGTGTACTCAGTGTGCTAGTGCTGGTGTACATTAACCACTACAGTACTTACTAATGGTTAAAATATTTCTAGTTCAAAAATATTTAATAAACTATAGCTGGACCCAGAATTTCACAATTTTCCCTCAGCTATATGTGTCTGTCTGCCTCTTTAATGTCTTTTTCCTTTTTTCCCCCTATGTGATCCTGAGCAAGAAAGACTGCAATCTAACAGGCTATAGTCACACTTAATCTGAGGTGGCAAAGCAAGAAAAAATGAATTTATTTCACATTTGCTTAAGGTTTCATATAGCTCTGATTTATCAATAATACAATAAAAAGAATGTTTTAAGTAGTTAAGCTGATTGCAGTTTTCTAAATTAAATACTTGAACCAAATGGGGAGATGGAATGCAGGAGCTGAAATTGGTCACCTTTGGTTAAACAGCATGATCGGTGTGATCAGCAGACACTATTCCATTGCTTCAATTGCTAAAAGCTAATTAAACACTTGCATTCTGCTAACTGAAGTGTATTTGACCACCTGCAGTTTCAAAGTGCATGTACCAAAAAGGAAATCCCTACACTATGAACACCAAACTGCTGCAATTCTAAACTTCAGCACCTAAGTGAAACAAGGACGTGAAGCAAAGGTTGAAGAAGTGGATTGCAGAAAACTTCCTTTTTAAATTGCGGAGGACTGGGAGCGGGCTGGGCACCCAGGCAGCTGCACAGGTGGGTGCCTCACAGCCAAGGATTGGCATGCTGTTAACCCTTCTCAAGAGCAGCAGCAGTGCCAGGGTGGTTCTTGAATGGTCAGAAGGCAGCTGAGCTGCTGGTGGCCCCAGCTCTTTAAGCATGTTTTGACCATCTCTTACACATCTGTATGACCTCTACCTGAGCTCCACTGTGATCTGTGTTAAGAGCTTTAACAGAAGCTACCATGAGACACAGGCACAAGATCTATATATCAAGTTCACCTAGGGCTTGGCTCCTCAGGAAAAGGAAGCATGAGAGAGGGAGGTCTGGGGGACATGGGCTGCAAGGCTCTACCTGTAAATAGTGACTTTTTCGTCTTTATTCAAACTCTGTCTGCTGTTGTGTTCTTTAAAAGAAAATTTCTGAAGTAAAAAACAAAAAAATAAAAAAATTAGTCAGGTGTGCTTGGAAGTTCAATAGACATAAAACACGTAGCCTTTCCTGCCAACTCAAGATAAAAGGCTGAAAAGGTGTAAGGAAGAGTCTGCAAGACCATTTTGTCAGGAAAAGGAAATAGGTGTGTCTTGTGTAACTATTACATTACTTTAAAAACATAATTTAGAGGTGATGTGAAACGTGAGTTGCCTGATCATCAGTGGGACAAGCAACAGAAGAAGGAATCAAACAAATCTCCAAGTGAAAAATAAAGATGCTAAAAGCAGCAAAATTTCAGATTGAATTCTGACTCTTTGAATTGCTTACCTAACAGTGGAAGAGAGTTTGGGTGAGAGAACAAAACAAGACCTTTGGAAAGCCATGTGAAGAGAGATTAAAGGAAGGGGGTTGCTTTAGTTAAAAAAAAAAAAAAGAGAAAACTGATTAGGATGACATAACCATGTTTCAACACAAAAGTTGCTACATGAATGCAAGTGATTAATCATTGTACCTTCACGCAATAGGCAGCTCTAACTTCAGAGCATAAAGGAAGAATAGTTATGCTGGGTCAAACTGAAGGTTTATTTAGTTGGCTATCTGGCTTTTGACAATGATCAAAAGTATATTCTTGGGGAAAAACATAAGATCATAAAATACACAAAGTAATACTTACCCCCAAGTATGCTAAACCTTCAACAATTTTTAGCTCTGGGTATGCCAAAGTGAAGATGATTTCAATGTATTTAATAGTCTTAAATAGTCTTGTTCAAGA